GTCGTGGGGTGGATCTGAGAACCCCGCGCGCACGCGTGTCTCCCTCCTTTCCTGGGCCACCGAACTGGCCCGGTACTCGGCGGCCATCTGGCTGTCGATCTACCCCGCATTCCTCCTGAGGAGGAATGCCATTCAAGCATGCCATAATCCCCCACGGGGCCGTTCACGTGGGGATCTTGTAATTCAACCTGTGACTTGGTTTATAGAGATTGGGGGATACCACTACACATGCACCGTGGTCATGTGTTTCGGATCATCGACATGTCATGTGACGGCGTCAGCCGCGTTCCCCCTGTTCCCCGCGACCGTGCCTGCCCGCGCCCGCCGGCGTCCGGTCGTCCGCAGCACGTCCCCCCCCCCAGCTGGCGAACGCTTATTGAGACCGCAGGCAAAGCTCCCCCCACCTTGTCTGGAGCACTCGGCCCCCCCGCCCCCCCCCCCTCGTGTTTCGTTGGGATGATGATTGCGCTCACTTTGCCAGCTCTCCGGCTCAGTGCGAATGACGCCCCGCGAGGGAAGCCAGCAGGCCGATCCACATTCACCCATCCGCACGCACACACACACACATACACACACACACACACACACACACACACACACACACACACACACACACACACACACACACACACACACCGGACGAAGAGGAAAAGGCATATATTGGTGGACCCCGGGGACTCTCGGAGGGCGACGAGTCGTGCACAAGGAAGGGGGAGGGTCTGGCATGACACAGTCAAGGGAGATAGGCCCAGCTCCAAGGAAAACCAACGGGGGGGGGGGGGGGGGGGGGAGGGCACCGGCGCCCGGGGGCAAGCACCATTACAGGTCCCCAGGGGCGCGGTGCCACGCCTCGCGTGCGGCGACCGCCACCCGCCGGACCGCTCGCGCCGGGTCGTCCACTCCAAAGCCAGGCCCCTGGACTTGGGAGAACCGCTGGGGAGCCCCATCGCCGCCCTCCAGCAGCAGCAGCTCGCGGTCTTCGTCCATGGCGTCGCCATCGGGGGTGCTGCTAACCTGAAGCCCGGCCGCCCCGCGCAGGGGATACGACGCCTCGGCGAAGTACCACCGAATAAGCGGCCCACAGCCGCCGAGCATGCGCAGCAGGCATGGCCGCCAGATGGCCAAGCTGGCACCGACCGGATCGGGTGGACCGCCGGCCGGGCCCGTGAGGGGGGTCACACCGCGAGCGCGGTGCGCCGCATACCGCAGGACCGCCATGGCGGTCAGGCGAAGAGGCTTCGATCGCCGAGGAGCGGGGGGGGGGGGGGGGAGAGCGTGAGAAAGGGGGGCGGAGAGACACACACAGAGACAGGGCAAGGGGAAGAGGGAGGAAGGGGGCGAGCTTGCTCGCGCGCGCCCGGCGCATGGACGCACCAGTGACCGGCCCTGCTGGATGGCATGCAGCGCGGCCAGCAAGATGACCGCCAGACCGGGGTTGGCCCGGGGGATCTGCAGGCTGAGCATGACCCCCTCGAAGGCCCGGGCGAAACGCTCGGCCCCGTGCTGCCCGAAGCGCCGGAGAAGGTTGGTGCACAGCACTGACGACGACCCGGGCGCATCGGCCAGAGCCCCCTCACGTCCGCCAGCCAGGCAGGGACACAGGGAGGAAACCGACGCCGCGCCCAGGGGGTGGTGATGCCGCGACGACGATGCAGCACCGCCAGGAGGGCCCCCATCGCCGGTCAGCACGGGCGAGCAGTCGCCCTGGCAGGCGCCCGGCCCGGCACGCGCGCCCACCGAGAACTCCGCCAGCCCGGCCGTCGGCGACAAGATGGCCGAGGCCACCGACGCCGTGACCACCGTGTACAGGCGCTCGTCAACCACCTCGCGCGGCAGCATCAAGAAGGAGGCCAGCAATGCCAGGCGAATCTGCGACAAAAGCGAGGGGGCGGCGGGCCCCGAACCGGAAGAAGGGTCATCTCCGCCCGGGGCGGCACCGTCGTCCCCATCGGTACGCGGGGCTGGCCCGGTCAAGTCTTCGCTGATGGCCGGCGCCAGCGTGGCGAGCATGCAGAAGAGCGCCACGAATCGGCGCTGCTCCGCCGGCGCAAACAGGCGCTGCTGGTCTGGAGCGTCCGGCACGGGGCGCATGCTCGGCAGGGCAAACAGCGCAAAGAGATGCTCATCGGCGAAGAGCGACCCCCGCAGGGCGAAGTAGAGGCGCTGCCGGAAGAGAGGCTGACATGGGGGGAGGGAGGGGGGGGGGGGGGGGGGCACCGAGATCTACACTCGGGGGGGGGGGGGGGGCACGTTAGTCCAAGGAGCTCGGCCCCGAGGAGACGCCACTCCTCCATCCAGGCATGCTGACAGAGCACAAGCGCGGCACCTCTGACCGAGGGCGCCCGAGACCACCACCCGCCCCGTGTTTCATCCCAGCGGACAGGAGAGAGCGAGCGAGGGGGTGCGCAGCATCCGTACCTTGACCACAAAGGAGGGCGATGCGGCCACGGGCCCGGCCGTGGTGCCAGCCGCCGGCAGAGGGGGCGCCGCGCCAGCCGAGAACAGCAGCCCAATGCGCAGAGCCGCATACACGCCGAGACCATGCTGCGCCGAGGAGAGCGGCCCACATACACGATTCTCCGCCATCTCGCCGTCGGCCACCTCGCGCAGGAGGTGCTCGCTATCACCGGAGGTGATCGTCCGACAGAGGCGCGCCAGCAGGGCAACCGGGGCCTGGGCCGCCGCTGCCAAGCCCTGCAAAGCAAACACCACCAGGTCCACAGCCGCCCGGTGAAGGCGCATCGCGGTGGCCAGGTCCGGTCGGCGGCTGTCCTGCATCAGCCAGTTGTCCGGTAGCCCGGCGGCCAGCAGGCCGCTGTGCAGAATGCTCTCGAGGCAGGTGCGCAGGCACTCCTGCAAGAAGGGGACCACTGGGAGCGGTGACAGGGGGGGGGGGGGGGGGAAGCACAAGGCAGGGCAGGGACGGCCATGCAAACATGCGAATGTGGTCATGTGTCAGACGGCCATGGGCCTGTCGGATGAAGGACCCCCAGCGCGCGAGGCGAGAACCATGGCGGAAGGGACCCCAAAGGGAGAGGCCATGGGAGAAAGACGCACCAGCTGGCTGATCCGGCACCGAGGCGCCGGCCGCCTTGTTGCACAGGCTGGAAATGGCCATCAGCGAGCCCGAGGCCAGGAAGCCGGAGGTTCCGCGCTCGGCAGCCCGGTCCGCCACCAGGACCTTGCCACACACGCGCGTCGGGTCCGGCGCCACGCCGAAGCCGAGCCCCGACAGGTAGGACTCGAAGAGGACATCAAACAGCAGCCCCAGCAGCCCAAGGCGCAGGGTCGGGTGGCCAACCAGCGGGCCGAGACTCGGGGGGAGGGACGTTCCAGGCGGGCCACCAGGAGTCATCAGCGCCTCGAACACCGGCACGCCGGCCACTTGAGTCATACTGATTAGGAGGGTAGCCTGTGCCATGCGCACCAGCGCGAAAGTGGCCGGGGGGGGGGGGAGTGAAGGGATGTCAGTTCCGGCAAATCCAAAGGGACAAATGTTGGCCCTGAGCAAGGACAGGCAGGCCGGGAAAAGAAATGGGGAGGGAAAGAGAGGGAAAGAGAGGGAAAGAGAGGGAAAGAGAGAGGGAAAGAGAGGAAGAGAGAGGGAAAGAGAGGAAGAGAGAGGGAAAGAGAGGAAGAGAGAGGGAAAGAGAGGAAGAGAGAGGGAAAGAGAGAGGAAGAGAGGGAAAGAGGGAAAGAGAGAGGGAAAGAGAGGAAGAGAGGGAAAGAGAGAGGGAAAGAGAAAAAGGGAGGAAGGAACAAAGAGAAAGAGAGCAAGCATACCGGCACAAAGGTCCCAGCGCTCAACCGATCGAAGGGAGTCTCCCCGACCGAGGGCGACGGAGTGGCGGTCGACGACGCCGCGGTCGATGAAGCCGCGGTCGAATGGTCGAAGCTCCGACCAAGCAGAGCGACAATCTCCTCGAGCATGTCGCTATCGAAAGAAGAGCCCGAGCATCATTGGGAGATGGCGCGAGGACACATGGGCGAGAAAGACAAGATGCCCTGTCAGAGGGGAAGATGTGCCCAAGAGGACATGAGGGCGAAAGGGAAAAAAGGGGCGAGGGAGGCCGGGAGACAGGGCCATCCGGCCAGCCGGGACACGCACACATGGCCGAGAAGCACCCCGCAGAAGCGCCCAAGCGAGCCGAGAGACGAGCAGATGACATCGGCGAAGGGACCCCCGGAGGCGACATCCACCGCCGGGGTGGCGAGCAGCCCCCGGAGAAGGGCCCGTGCCACTGGCGCCGCGGAGGGCCCCTGCCCGAGGCCCCCATCGATCAGGCCCTCGGTGATGGCCTCCAGCGTGGCCAGCACCCAGGCCACCCGCGCACTGACCTCGGCCATGGGCCGGCTCTCGGGCACCAGACGCCCGAGGGCCGCCAGAACGGCCTCCGGCACGCACGGCCCAAACAGCGGGTCCATGCTCAGGCCGACCAGCAGGCGGCGCAGAGCCAGCGGGGCCTGGAGCGACGCGCGCCCGGCGGACCCGGCCTCGCCGGTGGGCACGCCGAAGAGACAGCAGCTGATGACCGGCCGGGCGAAGAGCCCCAGAAGCTCGGCCACCACCACACCGGCCAGATCGCCCCAGCGAAGGATCTCTCCACTGCCATCGAGACCGGAGCAGGGCAGCGCCATATCCGGGCCGGCAAACATCGGCGAATCCTCCGCCGGGGCCCAGCCGGCCAGCCAGCCTGGCAGGCCGGCCTTGATGGCTGCCGGGGGGAGGGCCAGGCGGCCCAAGTCCAGGCCACCGGTCACCTGCCGGAGGATCGGCAACAGGGCATCCACAATGAAGGAGGTCACGCTGGCCGGGGCGTCGGGGTCCGGATCGCCGGCGGCCGGCGAGGCGTCGGCAGTGCCGAGGCGCTCGGCCGCCAGGATGGGCCGCGAGATCTGCCCCGCCAGCAGAGTCAAGATCCCCCGACGCTCGGAGGCATCCAGCAGCAGGACCGCCGGGGCGTCCGGATCGCGCCGGGTCCCCGTCAAGCCCGCATACAGGTCCACCAACAACAGAGCGCCGAGGCCGCGGATGCCGGTTCGTTGCAGGGCATGGCTTGACGCATGAACA